GTGAAATGATTGGTCATCAATGAATGAGCCATGAGGCTAGTGGGGTTGGGGGTAGGGGGTCAGAGCTTTTCAAAAGAATGCATCAAGAAGGGGTAGAAAGAACACATTTTCTTGGACAGCATAACTAGGCTAGCAGGGAAGTCCCAAACTTCCCCAACTTTCATTTAAAGTTTGTGTTTGTTGAGATTTCAATTAATTAAAACAATACACATCAGATTTTTTTCTTAGCTACATTGTATAGTACAGGCCCCATTGTCATTCTTTCCACTACCTGTCATCTCCTTGTTCCACCCCCTGTCTGCCTCAAGAAATATGAGCTACCATGGAATATTGCACAGCCATCATAGTTTCAAAGAATTTTTAATGGCATGGAGAAATGTTCTTTGTATAAAGTTGAATAAAAAAAAAGATATGGCCCTCCCTGGTGGTGCAGCGGGTTAAAAGCACAGCACTGAGAATCTAAAGCCTCTTCCGCATGAGTTCTATCCCCGCCTGCCCCGGAGGTGACCACATGGTGTGGCAGACCTCTCCTGACCCGCCCGCTGCTCCCCTCAGCAGTGTACTTCGTCGATCTGCCTGTTCTGTTCCCCGCTCTGTCTCTGGTGAAGCCTCTCACCGCCCCTGAGCCTCTGGCCTGTACCCCAGTTCTGTATGCACAAATAAATAAATCTTTAAAAAAAAAAAAAGATATACTGGATATTCATTATGATCCAAATTTGTTTAGACACATTTACATACATTCAAAAAGAACATTTTTCATAAGTTAAATTAGCTATCTACCTCCAGATGGTGGCATTACACATTAATTTTTCTGTGTTAACTCTATTTTCAAATGGTTCTTTATAATGAGCATGTAAAACTTTTACAACCTAAAATAATAATGGAATGAGACCCAAATAAGACCTAGAAGCTAAGAACCATCTCTGGGGGGCTAGTATTACATCCTTAAGGTATTTGCTTATTTCAGGAATGGTTTATAAAGAATATAAATTAATTCGGCAAGATTTTCCCGATATAGTCAAGAAACTGCATCATTTAGATTCTCTACTTTATGTTCTTTGCTTTATTTTTTCTATCACCCATCAGGTACATAGGTTCATCTGAAGCTGAGAAGGTAGAAAGAGAAAAGTGAGGAGTAAGGCACATTCTGAACCAAAAAACTGCTGAGTTTGTCCTTGGAACTCTTTGACTCCTCTTGTGACGGTGGTAGCCTGAATGGAGGAAAGAGAAAGCACAGAAAACTAGCAACTAGCAATGCCAAAAAAGTTATTTTTCTGAAAATAAGAGCACATAATAACCCTCCATCTACAAATGAAGAGATGATCTTTTACAAGATGTTAGAAAAGTACTTGTTCCCAAATTCACCAGATCCAGTCACTGGTATGGGAAGTTTCAAGTGTTTAGCTTGGAATAGATTCTAAGCTCCTTGAGGGTAAGTGCTCTCTCATAGTTATTTACAAAGTCTAGGACAGTGTCCAAGAAGAGCTGAAATCTAGAAAGAAAAACTATTTCTGTGGATTTTACATGACTGTGTGGTGTTGAACAAGCTTATAGACCCAGTGGAATAAGCCTTGTATTATGACCAAAATCATTGGTCATCAAGGAATGAGCCATGGGGTTAGTGGGGGTGGGAGGGTCAGAGCTTCTCAAAGAATGCATCAAGAAGGGGTAAAAAGGACACATTTGGCTTGGACAGCATAACTAATGATTTTATATTTGGAAAGTGAAAAATATGTCCATAATGATACTCAGGATTGGAGTAAAAAGAGTGGATGCTGAAAAACATGTATGAAATTTAATATCCACATCAGAACATATACCCCCAACAGGTGGAAGGGATGTCAAATTCATGAAATGGATTTTAAAGTTTGAGAACCACAGTACTTCATCATTGGGTTGTTCAAAGTAGCTCATGGGAAGAGTTACCTTTAGACAGAGTGAGCTTGACTTTCCCTGTCTCTAGAACCAACCTTATAGACTTACTACTCTTGATACTTATCTGTATAAAATATTTATCTTTCTAAAAGTTTAGGGGATGGTGCTCACCATTTGTTTTCTTCTAATCTGCTTATGCTCCATTGAACAATTTTCTTTTTTTTTAAAAAATATTTATTTATTTATGCATACAGAGCTGGAGTACAGGCCAGAGGTGCAGGGGCAGTGAGAGGATTCACCAGAGACAGAGTGGGGAGCAGAACAGGCCTATTGATGAAGCATACTGCTGAGAGGAGCAGTGGGAGGGTCAAGAGAGGTCTGCTGTGCCATGTGGGTCACCTCCGGGGCAGGGATCGAACTCATGCTGAAGTGGCTTTAACTTCTTAGTGCTGTGTTTAACCAGCTGTGCCACCATGGAGGCCCCGATGAGCTCTTTTTAAAGTTACTATATTTGAAAG